GAAGATAATAGGCATTTCTTTTAAAATAAAAATGATTGACTTTCGATGGGCCACTACGAGTGTAAACCGACGATTAGACATTTTGACGACTGTTACGAAACTAGATCGATGAGAATAGATTTCGCGTGATAACGAAGATGCTTACTACTTATATAACGAGAATAGAAGCAGTAAATTGTGCGGAAACGTCGATCATGTTAAGTCTGTTGCATCACCTTTTCCGTATTTAGCAGCGATTTGTGTACAGAAGACGCGTGATGCACCCGACGTCCACTTAAAGAGGCAAACATAATAAAGCCACCGGAACGGTAATCGATGGCGATTCCGATCGCTTCTACTCTAAGTTACGGTTTCTTGGCACGATTTCTGCTATTAAAATGTTGTTTGTAGACAAACAATTTTAGGAATTTGCATGGGTTTTACTGCCGCTTCCATACATTCCTAACATTTATTACCATTTTATGTAACGCTCCCACTTTCTCTAATACATACAGAAATTCTCAATAGGGCCTAACTTTTTAGTTTGTTTCGGAGCAACTTTTTTAAATTCCATTTTCTAATATTTTCCACTTTTCAAATGGCTTTTTATGTTTCGTTTCCACGACGTTCACCAAATTTTAAGCACTCGAAAGAAATTTACAAAATTTGTACCTTTGCCAGGAAGCTACTTGTTACTCTATTCTTGTTTTTCTGATTAGTTTTAATGGCGTGTAATTGCCAAATGTCATCGTAAAAATTTTCACACACCAGTAGAAATATAAATTGCTTATCGAGAAGTTTTACGCGTGAATCCAACCAACGAAAATCTCGATTTCGACATCAAATTGACGTTTCTTAAATCATTGACCAGGTTTAATTCTGTTACATGATCGAACCCTATACCAATGGTTCCTAAAGTGGGCCCTACCGCTCCTACAGGGTAGTAGAAGACTCGAGGGCAAGGGAGACAAAAAGTTATTTATATATGCACCGAAAGAGGGCCGTAACCCGAAAAATTTGGGAAGCATTGCTATATACAGAGTAATCTCTTATAAAAGCTATTCGTTTAGAGCCTGACATTTACGAAGGCCTCAAAAATATTTGTTACATTATTCTATCGATTTTATGGTGTCATTTTAGAAAATATAATTTTTTTTTTTCAAAATTCTGGGACTCGAGTAAAAGCCCTTCCTGTGTTAACCTCTCAGTGGCACCGTACTAAGCGAGGAAATCCAAAAAATTCAATATTTAAAAAGGGAATTTGCAGTATCGGATAACGCGACTCGATCATTTTGATTAATTAGATCCACTTCTCACACCCGAAACTACATTAAAAGTTATTCGCTCGCCTCTACCATTTCGATTTAGCGACGCCAAGTACTTTACGGCGCTAATTATTTTCATTATCCATTTATTTAACACGTGACAGACATTAATTATTTCACTCTCGCAAAAATCTGCAATTACATATCTTTATTAAGACAGAAAAAATGCGCTTTTTTAAAATGTCTTTAATAAAAAAACGAATGCACTCGACTCGACTGCTGGCAGCTAAACTTTTCAATACAATTAAATTTTCTATTTTCGACGTTAAAGAATTACCAATTAATGTATCCGATGAGGTGAAGAATCTTACTCTTATCACCATAAAACTTAAATTTTTAAAAGAGGTGCACACATCAACAGGCATTGATAAAAAATGTAATTATTAAAGCTTATTAAAAAAATATAAAAACTGTAAAGAACAACCACGACGATTTATTTTTCTTATTTTAGAGTATAATTCTAAGTAAATTTTTGAGGACGATGTTCCTCTTTTTTTTTTTTTTTCCTTTATTAAAAGTGATTGAAGAATCGAATTCTGTTCTTCTCCTAAGAGGGTTATAAATAATCCTTTTGTGAAGAATATGAAATAGTAAGGAGTAGTATTACAGAAAAGAAAAACAATAAACAAATTTTATGATTTTGTTATTTTTTAAGATTAATTGAAAAAAATCTAATATTTCAAAAACTATTTTAAAAACTCGTTTAATAGGGAAATAGAATATAGAACAGCGTGTATAATATAATAAAATTATATAAGAACAGCACGTATTCTTATATAAAACAGAATATACCTATAAATAAGTTATATAAAGTATGTATAGCCTGCTTACCAGCATGTGTGTGTGTGTATAGGCCTATATAAGGCTATGGAGGACGGTCAGAGGCCTCTCCATCCTTTAAGTGACTGTTAATCATTTTCTCTCTCTTTATATACTTGAAATTGCTTAAATTGATTTTCTAATGTTACAATTAACACTTTATTATATAGATTACGACTAATTTCCCGTCCCGTCGAAGGATCTGTTTATATATATATACTGTATACATAATTAGTACATTCTATGAAGGAAATGTATCGTTCTCGGTTTAAAATTCATGCTTGTCTGAGCGTGCGAAACAAACACTATTAACTGAACTCTAGGCCATCCCTTTTTATATTTATTACATAATTTTGATTTAAAATTCCATATTTTACTTTTAAACTAATTTATAAAGATACGTTAAGTTTTTCAGCGATACTATATACAGTATATATAGGATTATCACCATCATCACGTCCTTAAACAAATGATTTTATATTATCTTTATACTTCCAATGGAATTAGTTTGATCTACCCATTATCCCAATTAGGTTTCGGATTCGATTTCTCTTTCAGCGGCTAAAATAGAGTGATAAAGAAACGATGCTAATTGATCAAATCTTAGTAGCCATTTACTATTCTTACTAAAGCTTTACGGTCGGACAGACTGACAGTCGTTAATAAAAACTTATCGTTTATCTTGTTTATGTAAATAGTATTGTGTGAAGTATAAAAAATAAGTTTTCTTCTTCTTGGGAGGAATAAATTATTTTTAAATAATTTCTTCGTTTAATAAACTATTAAATATGTGACATAAAAGTAACTTCTAATTAATTTCTCGATTCCTCAAAAATTTTCATTTAAAAACGAATAAAATAACCTTAAAATCACAAGAGCGCGTGTTTTTCATATTTATCGATATATTTTAAGCGAATAATAGAGGAAAAATAATTTAAAAATGTGATTTTTAAGAGTTTTTAAGGACGAAAATACCCTTAAGATAAGAGCTTAAAAATATATCACGAGATCACTTCCACCCTTAAAATTATTTCAAAGATTTTTCTATCATCCGCTTAAAATATACGTCCCGTTCCATCGTTAAAACATCAGTTTATCAATAAATAATGAAAAAGACCCTTAAAATTTTAAACTCCAGTTTTATCGGTTTTTTAAACGAAAGGTTTTTGATCTTGAAACCGGAAAAAAAAAAAATACTAAATTTGCGTGCCTTTAAATCATTACACTGTAAATAATATAAAATATATTAATTAATACGATATTTAGAGAATTGGAAAAAGCCCGATATAGTTAACTAGAAAACAAGCAGCGTAATTTTTCACTTATAGATTTATAAATCATTATAATATTGCTCTAATTATTCCTCTTTTTACTCCTTTTAATTATCTTTACAGTACATACAATGGATCTTTTGACGACTATTTTTAACAGAATACAATAACAAATTAAATCAGCGAACATTTAATTCATTTAATAACTAACTTTTATTGATGAGGGGGGGTGGAAACGGTAATTTATAAGGAAGAAGGGGGGGCGGAGCGCTTATCGATCTTCATCCTTAATAATTATTTTATAAGATAAATGTAATTTTATTTTCTTCTTCTTCTTTCGATCATAATAAAACATTTAAGTTTCTGGGACGATAAATTTTTTATAATTTCTATAACTCATAAAAAGACTTTCGGCCTGATTAATCCTATAGTAGTAGTAGTAGTAGCGGTAGTACGGGTTATTGTTATCTGATCTTGGCCTTGTTCTTTTACTATTATAACAGCGCGGCTCTATTACGAATGTTTCCGATGTCGATGACGATAAAAGGAAAAAATAAGCGAAAGTGCACGAAATGTGTTTCCGGTTGCATATATATATTCTCGATATTTTCCGAGAGAGCCAAGCTAAATCGAAAACCTTCGTGAATAATATATAAATTACACTTTCGTTGTTATAAAATTTTACTTTTTTTTTTCTTTATTTTCTAAAGAACGGTTGTTGCATTTTTTGCAGGAAAAAAAAAGAGGAAAAGGTTGCGTGATGAGATGATGAGAAACTGTTGCATCTATAATGCGGATAGTTCGATAGATAACGTGGCGATAATTAAAACGATACAGGGGTGTACCGCCGACTTTTCGACCATTTAAAAATTTAGTCATTCCGATTTTAAACCGTCGGAGGAGTTAAATATTTAATAAAGAAGTGGCGTGATGATTCTAAAGTTGAAAAAGTCGTTATAACCACCTCCGAAAGGTAAGAGTTATTGCCGCAGACTTCGGCCAATCCGTCTCCACTTTTCTAAACTTTAAATTTTAATCCGTTCGTGAGAAAATGGCAAATGCTAAATAGTGTTAACGCCCTTATTTTCCAATAAGCGAATTTTAAAAAGTCTTTTTGCGGAAATTTATAGGCGAAAAAACACTTCTCCGCATCGACGTAATTCGATACGAAGTTTGGCTTCCCCGCATGACAGACTCGTCTGCGGGAAAGAAACCTTTACAGGGGCGGAACTACGTCCATTTTTTTGGTCGGCGGAAAATTCGTCGCGCGGGATTAGGTAAGGCTTAAAATTTTTTTTCTCTCGTCTTAATTCGGGTGGAATACGGTGAGAATTTCAGACGGTTTTCGATATAGATTGGGCGCACGGCGGATTGTTTGGATTTGAAAAGGCGCCGTTACCTTGGCAACCCAGGGTACAGTATAGACAGGTAGAGACCATTATGCGAGTATACCTGTTGCGGGGAGCATATCGGACCCACAAGGCCCCGCCTTCGAATGTTTGCCCGCTTCCGAGCTCAAAATCTAATTCGATCATCCGAATATTTACTGCTATAGAAGCACGCGGCGTTATCCCGGACGATCTCGTGACTAAAAGGCGAATTGCAATTGGTCACGGCGGAGGTCGAACGGTATAAAAGTAGGGACAGCGTCCGGACACATCAGAACAGCTGACCGGCTTCGAGTACCGCAAGGTCCCGTCCGACACGAGGTAGATATCCACTTGTTTCGCTTTTATTTCGCTTTCTCTTCTAGCCTTAGGCCCCGACTTCAGTATTTTACAACTCTGCACTTTCTAATGGAAATTTTCCAGATTCGTTCGAGATTTCCGCGGAATTTTTGGCTCCCTCGACCGGGCCACCGCCGGGCTCTTTTCTAAGGTCGGTGCCCGTTTGCCAGCGCGGAGCGTCGGAGGACGGCGGAGACGAATAAAAGTATTTGCGCCCGGTTAAGAACTGGAAGGTTACCATCGCGTGATAGCCGCTATTAAGGAGACGACTGGGCGAATTTGTTGTCGGTAAGGTTGCTAGGCAACGCAAAGTAGAACCAGGTACAGATACCACATGGCACATGGCACCGGCGGAGATCAATAACCAAATGGTTGCAACTGGGTTAAACGCGTCCCGATGTTAGTCATAAAATAACCAATCGGGTTTCGTCCCGGGATGACGCCGGCTGGGCTCCCGTCGTGCCTAGCGCCGGGGAGACGGCGTGTCTGGCCGGGGGGCGCCACGTCCCCCTGCGCCACCGTCATCCCGCTCGTTACAGGTGGCCCCCGCTCCGGGATCTCAGGTGAGATTTTTCCAACCCGTCTTCGGAAAATCGTTTCCGGCCCGACTTTCTCGCCCGTGGCTTTTTCCCCTTACTTTGGGCCGAGAAAACGGCGTCGAACGGTGTTGTGTTTGCGCGTTGCCAAGCAACCGGAAAACGCTTTCAAACAATTACTAATCGATGGCGTTTGTTGCCGTTCCAAAAACATTTACGTGGAAAAAAAGTTACTTTATTCGAGTATTGACCAAAGACTCTTTCTAAATCTCGTCTTTCTCTTTCAGTTTCGGCCCGGGACCAGGCCACGCCGGACCCGGAAAACTTTGCCGGAGGAACCCCACCAGGTAGTGTTGCCATCTCCGCCACTTAATTTCCACCCCCGTTAATTTAAAGCGGGCATTGGGGTCGCGCCATCGATTAGTTAGGGCCGCTCGTCTAATTGCCGCCGGTCAGTTTTTCCAATTTTTCTGGAAATTTCCAAAAGGTCGGAGATCGGTCCGATCGATAGAGTCGTTAACGAAGGGAGGAATCGACGGCGCGTGCCGAGTTTAAATTAAATTAGTTTACGCTGGCTACGGGGTAAGCCAGAGACGTTGGGAAAGGCCCAAGCCGCTAAATATTTTTCGGGTGATTTTGGGGAAGACCAGGTCCCCCGCGGGACGGTGTCGCCATCTGGCGCGCCGACGTTCCGATCCGAAAAGATAAAATCGAAGGTAGTAGTCGAGTAGTAACTCGACTCCACCTGTCCGTTGGGTGGAGTCGAAGTCCTCCAATCTTCCGCCACGCGCGGACGGTCAATTAGGCGGCCGAGGGGTGGAAAGAGACGGAAGGTGCGGGAAGGGACTGCGGAAAACCGCCGTCCACGTGAGTCGCCAGTCACGGGAAAGGCTTCCACCAAATCCACCGACTAATTAGATTGTCTTCCTATTATCCGTAAGGCTTTACTTCCACCCCGACGTCGGCACGTAAGTCTCGGACCCGCCTAATTTCGTTAGAATAGACGTTTTGCCCCGGCCCCGGGTCTCCGTACGGAAAGAGCCAAGGCCGAAGGACGCCCCGGGTAAAGCACGTGGGACGGAACGACGTCGTCCGGCGTAGAAACCGTGACCCCACCCGAAACCCGGAGCGCGTCGGGAAAGGTCACGCCGCCGGCCGCCGTTTTCGACGAAAGGAGCCGAAATTCGGCGGTTTCCTCCCTCCTCGGATATCGATCCGCCGGCGGGCGATTTTTCACCCTCTCCTTTTATTCCGGAGGTTCGCGACTATTCCACTTCCGGTCGAATCGACCTTCGAACCCGGAAGGGAAGGAGGCGCGCGGAAAATTAGTCGGTCGGTCGATTTCTTAGCCAGCGTTTGTTTCTGAGACGTTGTTTTCTTGTGTTTGCAGCGGGCGAAGGAGGAGACAGAAGAGAGAATGGAGCCTCACTCCCTGTGTGGAAGACTAGTGATTTTGTTGTTTTATTGGAAACAAACAAGAAATCACTATCTTCCAACAGTGTTTGAGAAAAAGCGACGACTGCAAGATCCCCGACGGCACAACCATTAATCAAACTATCTTTATTTTCCACACGAGTTAATAAATTACATCCGCTTTACGTCAGAGTGCGTCTAGGAAGGAGAGGGGTCCGACCTCAGTCCCGCGGGGGGTGGGATCCGAACAGCCGACGAAAGATGTCCGAGTAGGAGGGACGGAGGGAAGTCGAGCCGCGCCACTTCTCTTCGAAGGAGTCCGGATCGTCTGCAAAAGAAAAGGGAAAGTGAAAGGAAGACTGGGGATGGAAGGGGGAAGATTTTCGACTTACTTTGGTCCACGTTGACGAACTCCTCCCTCTTCTCCGTCCGACCGCCGGCCTGAGTCTTGGTGACCACGGAATGGGTGGCGTCTCCCACGCTCCTGCGTACCAGGGTGTCGACGTTTCCTCGCTCGTCCCTCACCGTTCTCCTCTCTTCCGTTTTCTAATTAGGTAATAGAAAGGCGGCGTTAATTCGAGGAAAGTGCGGCGTTATAACGCCGGCGGAGGCGGAAATGGCGGAGGTGCGCAGTCCGGGCGGTTCGATCGGCCGTAAACCTTTCGATCGGACGGTTACGTCCTTCCGCTCCCTCCCCGTTTTTTCCCAAACGGCGCGCCGAGGGATTATTACCGGGAAGAGTCCGCGCCGTGGGAACCCCGCGCCGCTCCCTTCCTCCGAAAACGCGCTTTAAACGGGCCTGGCGCAATTACGAAATAGAACCGAAGCCGTGGAAGAACGGCGATTATTCCCCGGGGACCCGGGTATTATTAAAAGATGGCGGGTGGACCAAAATCGCGATTTGGTAGCCACCAACTACCTCCGTTAACATTGGATTGGGAATTATTCGGTTCCCGTTGTTTTTTATCGTCTCGACCCGGGTCAACCGGTTACGGGCCGTCCCGCCTAAGACCGAAGCGCCTAACGTCCCGACGGATCCTGAAGTCGATTACTTAACATATCGAGAGGACGAGGGAACGGAGATTTCGACGGCGGCCGGAAACCCGGTCGACTTTTGTGTTAAAAGGACAGACCGAAGGCGTTCTCCTCACCACCGACTTCTGTTATTTCCAGCGATTGGCGATAAACGAGGTACAGTATTTAGCTGGCGGAAAAGAGGGTAAGGGAAGAGGGAGGGGAGGGAGGAGATAGACAGTAGAGAAAAGTAGAATCGCTCCGAATGACGTACGTACGGCTACAATACTGTACAAATACACCGGCCAGTGCAAAAAGTGGAAAACTTCCAGCAGCGGTAGAGATTAAAACCAAAATTTACTGTCATGGTAACGTTTTAACCTCCATTAGTAAATTGTCCGAAATATAGTCGTAGAATAATTGTAAATTCAAAGTGGGACCGTCCCAATCGGCGCTGTTCGAACTACCATCCCCCGGTCCGAACCGCATCCGCCGATGCATTACACGTTAACTTATAAAGGATAGAAACGGGCCTACTTTTCGTACAGGTGGATTATTAGACGATCGGTAAGGTAACACACTACGTTACAATTTCAATATTTCCATCGGGAGAAATTTGTGTAAGATTAGGCTCGGTTTTCTTACGAAATTCGAACGGGACCCCGCATAAAACGCGCGGCGTGCGTTAAACGTGTCGACGAACTCCCGCCTAACATTGAAAACGTTAGGATGACATTTGAACGTTTAAAAAACAGGAGCTAATTTTCAAATTATCGCCCCCGGTTCGGTTTGGCCCAGGGGTGGGGAACCCGCCACCCTTGGCGACTTCTCCCTCCCCATAAAATTTAATTTTTACTGCCACGGGTTGTCTTTCCGGATAAGGGCGTGTATACTAGATACGTATGTTACGCGGCTTTGGAGTTCCTTGTAATCAAAAACGTTGGTCTCCGGTTTAGCCTAAGAATTAAATTTCTGTGTTTTGGAAGAAGAGTCTAATTACTTCTAAATTAACGATAACAACCACAGTACAATCTGTACATTGTAATTGCAGATGATAAGTTAAAATACCGTAACGATAGCAGGATTCGTAGCCGTTATCCGTTGTAAAATGCCACAAAATTTCCATATTTATGGCTAAAAATATCCGGTGCCCTAACATTGTTAGATTCGAAGCATTTTAAGTTCGTAACCTAACAATAATACCAAATTCTTTGTACATTCGTTGACAAAAGTAAATCGTTACCTCCTACCAATCGGTGCGAAGTCGCATTTGATGTAACGCTTAACCCCGACTAATCAATCGAATATCGACGTTAACTTTACACCCAACGGATACTACCCAGCCGCCGGAGATCGGGCCACATACTTATCGGTTGTGTCGATTTGAGTAAAGTTCCAGTTTCGATCCGGTACAATAGACAAATTAATAAACATTTGACGGGACCGTAAGTATTCGGTTGTGTGGATCGAGCCCTAATGGCCACAGTCGACAACCAGACAGTCGGCAGAAATACGACTACAGACTCTAACCGAAAACGAAGTGATGGATAAAAGTACCTCATTCCCGTAAGCCAGGAATTTTTTTAATGGATGCTGTCCAACGGTCCAACAGCCCTAGACTGGAAGTCAACTAATCCGTTCGGAAAGCGGCACTCGTTGGAGGAATGTAAACTTCGCACACCCACTGCATTAATTAATCAATTATTTTGGATAAAAGCCTGTAGCGTTAATAAGGGATGGCAATTTCCAAAGAAATTCTCTACTTTCCCCAAAATTCCGGTTACTAAGGCCGGATATCGAAACTCCACTTAACGACCATCGTTATCTTTGCATTTTTAAGTCGTCGTTGCCTCAATACCTGGCTGATAATGCGCTTTAAACGTTAATCGTTGCTGGTATTAAAGGTGCTAGCCAACAAACAATACGGGATGAATTACATATTAATTAAAAATTCTGTACTTGAAGATTCATTAATTGTTCCCACGTCACCTTTCAACCACTCAATAAAACCAGAATTTCCACTTATAAACTCACTCTGTTCAATATTATCAATCGGTTATTGTTATCGGTATAGACCACAGGATAACATTAAGTAGAATCAACTGTAATGCGGGTTTAAAATATATTACTGTGATTGAAAATGCATTAATATAAAATTCTGTGTGTTGCTACCTACATTCTATGTACCCTCAAACTTAAGAGTTTGTGTTTTCTGACCTTAAAAATTTACAAACTAATTCCGAATTCGAATTTACGTCTCGGATGCTGGCTTACCCCGTCGGCGGTGGTGAAGGTCCGGATGGATACGAAACTGCTAAAAGTACGCCTCCCGGGCGGATTCTCCGACGGTCCTTCCGGAATTTCCTCTTTCAACAGGCCAGAGAGACCGTCTTTTGCCACTCTGTCGTCTAAATCTGCACCGGGAAGAGAATCAAAATTATTAGTTACTTAATAATCGAGAAAACAACATTAATTGCAGTTTTATTCGTTATTCGAATCTTATTTTAACCGTGGATGTTTGTAATTATGACATTGTACGATTTGTTAATTGTATAAGTAATCTGAAAGTGGCTTTTTATTTGTAACAATAAACTGTATTAAATTCTCCAAGGAGCACATTTAATTACATCTACAAACAAAAAAGTTACCACTACAAATTTCTTTGGCCTCATAAATAAATAATCTTAAAGAACTATAGCAATAAATATTAAATTCTTTGAAATATGATAACTCTTGTAACAATTCAAATCTATCCGAAAGTGAATTGTCATCGAGACTCCTTTGCAGGAAACAAAAATTTTAAATTAATTTCCATTGTAAACACGATACCTCAAATTTATAATTAAGTTTCCAGGCAAATTTTGTTACCCAATAATGCTTTCGATTCCATCAATAGTTGCTGCAAATCGAAACGTCGTTTAGAAAATTTCTTAAATTTTCTCGAGAAATCCGTAACTAGTTATAAATTATTTCCGCGTCGAATCGATAAAGGTCTCGAGGCGGGTCCGAACAATTTAGACAGATTTTTCTGTTTTAAATCTTGTACCGTTCCGTGGCGAAATGCAATAATGGTATATCGCCGAGCTTAAAAATAATCAGAGGAGGAGAAATATAATACACAAAATACCTTTACTGGTGACTTTTTAGCCCAACAGCTAATTGAAATTATGTTTTTGATATTCATTCATCCATTATGGAGATAAAAACATTAAATTGTATTAGTTTTCCTTTCAAACATTATCTTAATATTACATTACTATGGATGAAAGCAACCGAATAAATATCAAGATTAATAAAATATTTTGTCTACTTTAAAAATAAATTTCTTGCCAAATGGATTTTGTGTAAATAATACCAAATTATAGTAATATAATAAAATATTTAGGACTAATCTTTTGTCCTAAACCATCTCTCTGTATTGTATATTTTAAATTATCAATGTCTAAGCAAATTTTTTTTTTCTATTATTAGATTTTAAAACTAGTTTTAATATCATTTAATGGCCAATAATTGACTGTTCTTTTGTCGTTTGGGATTCAGTGTCCTACGTTGTATTTTTATAATTAAATTTTATAATTTTGGATATTTATCTTTATTAATCTTTCGTGGTAGCGTGTGCCTGTTTAGAATATGAGAGTCGTGGGTTTGAGTTGTATTCCGGATCAATCTTTCTTTCCAGAATTTCCTAAATTTATTAAGTTTTATACGAGATTGTTGATTGATGGAGCAAAGCGACGTGACACTTGGAGTCATTTCTCCCATGGCAGATCAGCCCAGAACAAGTATCTATGGGGAAAATTCCAGTGGTTGTACTACTTGTTTGGGCATAAATAGACTACGGTGTTTGGTGGTTTTATCCATTCTGCCACCGGTGGGCTATATTGGATAACAAATAATATTACCATCAGGTCAAAATTCCATAATTATTTAGCTAATAGAATTTGCCTTAATATATCTGAAAATAGTTTGGTAATTTAGACAAGTATTTAGTAATAAGATTATTCAACATTACTAAGCCTTACCAGACTTTTACAGCATTGTTACCCATCATAAGAACTTACAGTTCTTATGATGGGTAACAATGCTGTAAAAGTCTGGTAAGTCATGCAATCGTATGATCTTGTAGTTAGATAGTATTGGAACAAACATTTTATATCAAAATCATCATATAATTTTCTTTATTTCTGGTAATGTTATAAACTATTCCAAAACCTCACCTGAAGACTACAGCCTACACAAAGTTATTTGTAAAATTCGCCTGCAACCTACGCACAAAAGCAACTAATGTACGAAAGACCTAAACATCGTAACAAACCGACTGGAGGTGTGAACGGTAAGTTGCCAGATATTTTCAATCAGTACATTTGTCAAAAGTGCTTCAAAAGTAACCAAAAACCACCAAATTCTTGTGGAGAATTGTCAAAACAAAAATGTGGCAACTTTTTGACTAGTCTAATTGATACAAGACCGTGAGTATTATTGCTTGCATTTTGATGTTGTGACAAAACAGATCGATACATCTAGTGCTCTCTTTAAAAATATATATTCCACATAATTATGATAAGATATAATACTATGGGCATACATGCAACCTAACAGAGTTCTGCCGGGAGTTCGGGGGGTAGCAGAGAGCTACCGGGTCGCAACATTTTTTTTTACCCTTGCCAGCATCTTAAAAGCCCTTAAAACATATGAAGTGCACAATAGTGGTACACATGAAATAAAAATTATGCAAAGATAAACAGAATAAAAATAAAATGAAATAAATGTGAATATAATTGAAATAAAGCACTGCTCTAAATTAGAGAGGTGCTCTAAAACCAGTTACACTTGCACATATTACACTTGCACCAGTTACACTTACAAGTAATAACTTCTGAATATTTTAAATTTCAATACTGTATACAGAAATTTATATTTAAATAATAATACTTAAAAGATTGTATGTAAATTCTGGGTTAAATTATCTGAAAGAAGGCAGAAATATATATTTTGACTGCATATGGGATTCGAAACCACATTGTTTAACAACATGCTAAATGTTCCAGTTAGCCAAGCTACGGGGCACTTAACTGTTTATAATGGGACTAACTTTACATAGAAAACAACTATTTTAAATGTGTTACATAAAAAAATACCTGGGGAGCAAAATACAAGAACAAGCATTTGATAAGCTGCAGGAGATACTTACACACTGGTGCTTGTATGGTTTGATCCGTCAAGACAAATGGTGATCGTGGCAGATATGTCATCATATGGAGTAGGGGCAAAATGGATATATCAATATGGATGATTATTAAACAGAAACAAGATGACAATTAATTTTCATCAATTGTGTATAGCAAAGAGGTTCAATACCTATCAAAGGCAGTAAAATCGAATAAAAGAAGTGGGATACACATTAGTTTGGCATGTGAAAGATTCAGAAATTGTATTATTGGACTGATGATCACCTTTCGAACTGATCACAAACCTTTAATCTCAATGTTCTCCACAAAAAGCACAAAATACTCTTATGTCATCCCCACAGTCCCAGGACAGCAGATATTTTATCATGCTGAATGTTACAACAAACAGAAAGTGACAAACTGAATAATGGGATAAGAGTCTATGTGAGAGCAACTATGTAAAGCATTAGCATCAGCCTCTTGTCTGGCTGAGATCTGGAAATTGCAACAGGAGGCAAAAATATGTAAAAAATTAAATAAATATAGTAAGAGAAGATGGGCAGAAAGGCACAAAAAGAACAAATTATGAAGAGCATGTTGACCGTATAGAGTAGAAATATCAGAAGAATGCCTGCTGATGAAAGGATCATATATAATTTTTCCAACACAATTATGAAAAGAAATTCTAGACAAAATTAATCAGGGACATCTTAGGATAAACAAATGTTGAGTCTATGCACAATTGTTGGTATAGTGGTCAGGATTGCCTGTGCAGATAGCCACTATAATAAAGAGTTATGATCAATGCACACAAGAATAACATAACATTTGAGAATCCTTAATCTCAGCTTTGTTCCCATATTGACTGTGGCAAAACCTCAGAATGGACCTATGTTATCTGAATTGCAAATGGTATTTAGTGGTCACAGAATTTTATTCCTTGTAATCATAGGTAGTTTAAAATTCAATGGGATTGGACAGCAATGGAATGGAACCAGGTCATCTAAAGTGACAAATCCAGATTCAGTATGGGCACTGACAATGGCCATGTTTATGTTTGGAGACCCTGTGATGAACACCTCAATCTTTCCTATGGTTTGGAGGAGCACAGTGCCCCACAGCTGGTGTGACGGTCTGGAGTGCCATCACATAAGACATCAGGTCACCTCTAGTAGTGATCCGCAAGCCCATGTGGGACTATGATAGCCCAGTGGTTAGTAATATCCTGCAGCCACATGTGTTGGCTCTCATGGCAGGACTCCCAAGAGCCATTTTTCAGCAGGACAATGCTCGACCACACACAGCGAGGGTCACAGAACTGCTTCTGTCACATTGCCACACTTCCCTGGTCTGCAGATTTGTAACAAATTGAGTTCTAATTAGTTTTACCGAACTAGAGGACCACTTGCAGCAACTGTGGACCCCAGGACACCATACAGCACTTGTATGCCTCCATGCCTGCCTATATCACCATTATACTTATACATGTATAATTTTGTTTGATTCTGAAAACTCCTCCTTGCTATGCTAATTTTTATAGCACTATATATAAATATATTACAAAATATACATCACAAAATATCATAAAAATATCACAAAAAATATATATATTTTGTAAGACTCTGAGGAATTTTAATTGTTAACTTTAATCTCTGTAATTTACCAACAATGTTAATCAACTTGTTCTTAAATGCTTGTTACTAATTACTCCATAGTCCACACAAGACAAATTGGCAGCACTGTGCTACTTTATTTTCAATGAATTACATTCATTGCTTGTTCCGAAGAACTCAGTTCTTGGAACTCATTTGATTCTTCAAAGTATTTGATTTTGTTGTTGGTTAATTCCAAACAAATTTGTCTAACTAATCATTAACAAAGATATTGTGTTTGTATGTTTCCTCATCACATTACATTCATCTAAAAAAGGTGCAAAATCATTCTTGGAATGAAGTTTGTCATGCTCTGTGATGACTGTTGTTATTTATTTGTCCACAACAAATGGAACCTCAATTTTTCACTTTGGGTTATTTTTTCATACCCTTTTGAGTATAAAGAACCTCTTCAATTTCCTTGTTGTATAGATATACCTAATTAATTAGTGTAAAAACTGGATGCATTACTTATAATTAATTCAAAATACACATAAATCTAGTAACCAAAAAAAACTTTAATATTCAACCAATGTGCATTGCACATTGGTTGAATATTAAAGTTTTTTTTTGTATATTAAAGAATATTATAGT